TCTTCCCCTTCCTGTATTATCCAGGCCTGCTGCCAGCCACACTGAGAATTTACACAACCCATCACTGGACAGGTCAGAGCATCCAGCTGAGAACTTTCAAAACCAAACTGCACAGACAGAGAAATTCCCAAACCAGGTGCTTTTCGGACACATTCCAGAAACTACACGGAGAGAAATATGGTACCCAAAGCCCTAATACTGATTTGACTAATATTTAATTTTACAGAGAAGTGTTTTACTGGAGTAGCTCGTGACTGGTCCCACGTAGATGTTAAAAATATTCCCACTGTGGCAGTGGCAGAAGCAGAAATGGGCAGAGGTTTAAGTTTGCTTTCTCTGTTGTGTTTTAGGCTTTGGACAAGTTACCCTGCTGCGTGCAGGAGTCTCTTGCTTTTCATTTTTTGAAGTAGAAGGATAAGTCTGTTTCAGGATATAGAAGAGAGTCACAAAGCTGCAGCTTCGTCATTCAGATACACACAAAGAGCATAGAGAGGGATCAAATCCTCAACATATTTGAAAAAAAAAAGTATTGAAGAACTTAGCACAATATGGGAACTTTCTCTCTCCATGAAATCCACTTTCTAAAATGCAATAAATAAATACAATTACAATGAATTTAGCAAATCAACACGAAATAAAGAACAGAATTTTTCCATCAGCAGAAAAGTATTGAAAATGGTTACGTCTGTCCCTTCCAAGTAACACACTCTGGGCCAAATTCCTACCTACTCTGAATACCATTCAAGTAAATGGAGTTGTCTCAAGCTTGACTTTGGCCCACTGGTGTTTTATGCACTGTGTATCCCAACTGCGAATAGCTGCAGCTCTGATTTGAAATTGTTTGAAACAAGAAAAACTTTTTAATTTTAAATGTAATAGATATTTAGTTAGAAAAAATGCAGAGGAAAGAGGAATAAGAGGAAAAGCGGCTGCTCTGCGGTGGCTCTTTGGTCTGGATGAAAATTGGGAAATGGCCACCGCGGTCTGGTGATTTGTTTGACTCTGGGTAAAATTGGGTCAAAAAACACATGTGAAAAGAAGACTCTTGATGGACAAGCTCAGAATTGTGTACTTTTTTCCCCTGGGTCTTTAAGAGATGAAATATCAAGTGAAACAAGCCTTTTTAATTGTGTGTATTATGTCTAGCTTTTAATAACAAGGTACCTTGGAATGGAAATAGATAATACTGGTCTGATAAAATGAAACAGCCAGTTCCTGTTCTGAACACAAATCTGCTTGCAGGACCTTGTTGTGGGCTTAGAACTGACAAGTTTGCAGATGCTACCGCTTGCTCCCTAATCAAAGTCAGATGCTGTTCCTAAGCAACTTTCTCATTGTCACCACATCTCCTACCACGGAGAAGGGCTAGCCAGAGTCTGTGAGAGACCTTTTTGTTCTGGGGACGTCTGCCATATTTTTTTATCTTTGTTCTCTGTTTGTTTTTAATTTGAGGGGTTTGCATTGGCCAATGATACACGAGAGTGAATGGGGGAAGTAATCTGAAGGGAGCTGATGTCCATAGGACATCTGTTTAAATTCAGCTTTCAGACAGAGAGAGAGAAGCCCGTGTGCCTTCAGTTTGTTCCTGGAAAGGGCCCGCAGCGAAAGGAGAGTATTTAGTTTGAGAATTCATTAAATAATTCTGCACACAGCACTTCAAATAGATCACAAGCCCAAGAGAAGAGTTTAGGTCAAATTAAACAGTTCAGTGTGGCTATAGCTGTTGTCAGGGTATTCAGATAGAGAGAACACACTGAACTGCAAATTGAGTGCAATATTTTGTTGTTGTTTTTTTAAAGGCAGCAATGGAATTTGATTCTGGGGAGTAAAAGGATATTAATTGGAGGTGTTTATATGATTGTGTGCTTCATGTTTGCATCTTCCTCTCAGTTCTTCCAAAGAGGAAATTACTATCTCCTATACACTGATTTCTTGCTATTAACTGTCCTGTAGCTTAATTGACTTGTTCTCCTCCGCTATGAAATTGGAAAGTATGCAGCCCTTGTCATCCAGCTCTGTGCACTGTGGTGTGGATCTCATGCATTAAATACTGTGTGACAAGAAAAGGTGCTCTGCTTCCGCGTGGCAAGAGATGCCAAAAGTGTCATGTAGTGTGTGCAGGCACAGGGAGTTTTGTTTTAGGAGCTCTGTTCACACAGGAAACAATCCTGGTGCTAGACACTTGGTGCATAAACATTTAGGAGTTGGAGTGGCCCCCGTTTACAAAAGGACCTGCTCTCGCTCGCTCTCTCTCTCTCTCTCAAAGAAACCCAGTATGCAGTGGGCAATAAACATGAAAGTAAAGATGGGAGTCAATGGAAATGTTGTAATGTGTCTGAGCAGAAGCATTAGAAACTGTCCAGAGACGATGAGATATTCAGAAATTTGCATCCCATGACTGTGCCCTGCAGCTCCTCCAAACCTCTTTTCTCTACTGACAGGTTTTTTTATTCCCAACACCTCGGCACTTTCAGACTGCGCTTGTGATTCCCCCCCTCCCCCTTGTCTGACACACTGCTTCTCCTTCACTGGTTGTGGATTTATACTTTTTGCTTTACTGCTGCCACTTTTGAGCTCGATTTGAAACGTAAACTCCTCTCCCTCCCCTTGAAGCCATGAAACAGGCTGGAATATACAGCCCCTAATGAGCAGTTTGAGAGAAACTTTGGTCTAATTTGTACGGTTGGAAGTGGTAGTGATCTCTGAGTTATCCTACAACGGGATCATATTTTAGAACAGTATAGTTGTGCTTGCCAGTGGTGTGGACCTTTTTGTTTTGTTTTTGGGATTGTTGTATAGTGTTGCTCGCTTGCTTAGTAAGTTATTTCTTCACCTGTGTTACTCCCATCGTGAAATCCTGAATTGCGGATGGTTTACTGTGTGCACTGTGACTAGACAGTAGAGTTTGCAAAAGTCAGCAGGCCAGAATTCATCGTAAATGGACTTCATTCCACGCGCACCACACGCACAGTGTACAGCAATGATTGTCTCTTAGACAGAAGGCTCCATTTTTAAACAAACTTCATCTCTGCGGACGTTTGACAGAGAGGTCAGGAAGGTCTGCAGACTCATCCTCTCAAAACAACCCCCCTGAAACATTTGAATTAAGTCACCTCTTGAAACTCCATCCCCCGCCCTGCACCCCCCCCCCAATGGATGGGTTTTCTCTGGAGAACAATAAGCCTTCTCCTCTTTTGGTGCCTGTCCAGTGCGGAAGGAAAAAGATGTGGTCAAAGTGGCAGGCTGCACGGCTTTCTTTTGAGCCAAACAGATGGTGAAGGTTAAGTGACAGCTCTGTGACTGCCTCTTTTGAAGTAATTGGAGATAATTTGTATTTTGAATCAAAACTTGAGCACTGTCAGAAGAAAGGAAGGTTAATATGTAAACGATTTTACATTAGCCCCTGTTTTGGGGTTTTTTCTTTTTCTTTTTTCCTTTCCCCCTTTAGATCCTTGTTTTCTTTAATCCTTGCTCCAGGCTATCACTAAGATTGTCTCTGAGCTCGGTGTGACTTGTTTTCGGCTGGGGTTGTTATGAAAGCCAACAACAGCTTATTAAGGCCAGTGATAATCTCTGCTACTGATGCATTGTTGCTTTCCTGAGGTCCAATTAAGGCTGTGCATCTGAAACAAAATCCTGGAAATATACGGCCTCTTACCTAGAACAGTTTGCAAACAAATGCACAAGCTGCTTTCCTATTTCTGCGCTAGAACTCAGCCTGGCTGTATAGTGCAGGTTATTGTATGAGTGCATTTAAGATGTCCCCCCACCCTTTTTTTTTTTTTTTTGTTTTGTAGCACTGTGTGGTGATATTAATTGTGGTTTAGGATTCCTGTTGTGTCCGTAGATTTTTCAGTGGCTCTGGGTAGGGGTTTATTTGCCCAGTAGTAATATCAATAAATGAAAATAAGAATAAAAGAATAATTTTTAAAAGGCCCCTTTAAATAAAGCACACATCGTTTGCACTGTATCGGGGGTTTAGGAGACTGATAAACGCGCGTGCTGTTATCACGTGTGCTCTCGAGGTGGTAAGTGAACAGTGAAAGAAGTTTGAAATAATTATAGTGCCTCATTTCAGAGCAGGAAAGGGTACCAGAAATATTGCTTCCCTAGCAATTCTTGTTGCTCTAACCATACAAACCCTACCAGCTCTTCAACCTCGTCCTAGTGCTTTCACACATAGGCTGCACAAAAGCAGGCGGCGATCAGCTGGAATTTCTTAGCCCAATCCAATTTTTTTTAAATGTGGATGCTGAATAGAACAGGTAAGAAAGATACCTGAATTGGCTTGTTCATCCAAACGGGTGTCGTGAGGCCTTCGTAAGGTGCAGGGAACAGGGCAACTATTTTCATCCCCTTGTGCCCTTAGTTTCAACGATATAACTTTAGAAGTTTCTGTATTTCTCAGATGAGGAGGTTTCATTTTTGTAATCTGAGAATCCCTGTGAATATGCTATCAAGAAGTAACTTGTACCTTCACACAGTACGATTAATAAGTTAATTTTTCTGTCCTGACCCCAAAAGATTTTTTGTACACAGCACTCAGAGACAGCAGTGGAGAGGAGACTAGAACAAAAAGTCAATGCTGTTTATAGTGCATTTAAGTGCTCTTTCCACAGGAGTACACAAGCCAATATTGTGCTTTATTCATATACATCAGGTTTATTATGAAGCACATTTTTTCACTAACTTGAAGAAGGAAAAAGAGATGCTGGCTTGTTATTCCTGCCTTTTTCTTAACCATGCAAAGTAAAGAAATGGTTGCAAAACCTTTAGAAGCATTCAAGTACCTCAGTGACTTTCATCAGATGTTCTCTGTACAAGAAAAAGAAAAAAAATCGTTCTATCTTTTTATTTTTACTTTGCTTTAATCTTATTTGATGATGTCTCAACAGGCTGGGACATGCTTTCTTGGATGGCAATTTCACTGCACCATATGTGTCTCTCACAAGATAGCAGAGTGAAATGAGTCTTGGCAGGAAGAGAACTAAACACATCGACAAAGAAAAGAAAAAATTTATTTACTTAACTCCCTGTTGCCTGCATACATTTTTCCCTTGGACTGCATCTGGTGCAGTGATTCAAAGTTAGTTTCTTATAAACATTTCTGTGAAACACAGCCCACATTTTATCACTTTTTCTAGCCATCTGCCCTATTTTCTCCCTGAAATCCTGGGTTAAGCATGTCAGTGGCTAGATGATGAGCAAGTTAAAGGAAAAGGAAAATCTCTTTTCACCCAAGAATATCCATGTTGCATGAACATCAGGCCTGAGCTCAGGGAGAGATCTGGTCTTACTAAGCTGCAAGAAAGCTACTGCCTTTCTTTAACAACAGCAGCAACAACAAAAAGTTATTTAACAAAGTGAAATTCCTGATGTACCAGCCAACATTCTTCTGCCGGAAAAGCCACCAGCATTCTTCCAATGAACTCCAGATCTGGTATTTAAACTGTGTCACTGACGTAAGACCCACTGGCCCGTCCTGGAGTTGCCAAAGGCTCCCTATCAATGGAGAGGAGATTGCAGATATTTATCTTGATACTGAAAGATTCCATTTCTCGTGTGTAGGATGAATTCATAAAATTTATATTTGATAAATTCATAAATAAATTCAGTAGATTTCTCTGAGTAAAAATATTACAGGAATTGTTTGTAATGCAAAAAGCAAGCAACCAAAAGCCACGTGTTCCAAAGAGAAATGTCAGGATGCCTCTCAAGGGGCCAGTGACCATTCCCTGCTGTAGTGGGCTTATTGTCGTATGTATTAGAGCATTTGGTCCCAGGATCATTTTAGTGTCTTGTCCATTGTTAAGCTGCTTTCTGCACTCTGCAGAAAGAGGTGTCACTAAGCATCTTTATCCTAAGAGGAAAACTGTACAAAGCTCCCTTTCTGCATTTATGATTCAGTGTTCGGAAGTCTTTCAGAGCTCTTTTGTTTTATGTTTACAGTAGTTCCCAATGATAACTGCAGAACTGTTTGTAAAATATATATTTACATAGTTGGATATTTAGGGAGAAAATCAATACACCGTGGCCTTGTTGGTTAGTATGAAAGAGTCATCCAAACCAGGTTATTTGTATCCATAAAAATGCAAAAAGAAAATCAGGCTTATCATATTTGATGTAACCGAAACAACAAGAAATGTTGTTATATATGCTTTCTAAATTTCAGTATAATTCTGTGAAACAATGAAACAATACATTTTCAACATGCATGATGTTAGTCAGCTTAGATCTGTTTTAGCTGAGGACATAATTTTTATATTGGCCTAGCAGTGGGATAAGGAACATAGAACAGGCAATATGCTGTACATGGAATCCTATGCGCATACAGTGCGTGGAACAGACTTGTTAGGATAGTGCTGTCTGTGCCCAAGGTTTCTAAGAGTGAGTACTGGAGTCCTTTTGTGCTATGTTTTTCAGTAGTCTTGAATGTGGAGTAATTGTGCTTACTGGCCATCTTCAAATGTTTATGTTGTCTGGTTTATTTTGTGTGAGCCTTATTTGTAGAGTGTGGGGGCAGGAGGAAAGGGCCTGCGCTGTCCTGATCAAGGGCTTCCCTCAAGAAAATCCATGCTAGCCAGTTAGACTGTTCGTCTTGATGCAACATTTACATTTTTGATTACTTTTACTACTTGAACAAAATTCTTCTTCTGTATGTTACTTCCAAACTCCGAGTTCAGTGCTAGAGATTTTAAATTCATACTTCCTCCTGTGCGTTGTGGTTTTTTAAAGAAGTGGACATATTGTATGGTACACAAAGTATCCATCATTGTGGATTTTAAATGATTGTTTTAATAGAATTCCTGTGGTAGACACCAAAATTAAAGCTCCGAAGTGCGGATAACATTTTTATTAATTTATAT